GTGCCTCGGTGGCACCCCTGAAAAGGACATCAAGGCTCTCTTTAACACTTCCTCCATGTACAGGTTTGCAACAATAGGAGAAACTGGGGATCCCTATACCTATAGGACCTGAGGACCTATAAAATTTTTTTCCTTTTACTTATGTCATTCCAACCCACAAAAAAAAACAAAGATCTAAAACAAACATAGGAAGTTAGAAACGATGACATCATCAAGCATTTACCAGGTTCACTCACATGTGAAGGAAATACAAAAACTAGGTCTGCACTGTGTTCTGGTCCATTTAACCCATCAGGTTTGTGTTRTTATTGATTTCATGCAGTTTGAGCTCAGCTGCTGTGATGATGAGGATGATGAAGAGGCAGAGGCCAGTTACTATAAAAGCTGGGCTTTGTTTTAACCATTTAACTGTCTCCCCTGAGACATTTTTTAGTTTATGTAACGGTGCCAAACCAAAGGTAAGAACTCGAGGAAGTCGTCTGTCACCCTGGTTTTCAAAATAAAAGCACCCGGTAGCATCTGGAAACGTTTAAAGGCAGAAACCGCACTATTTAAGAGGTTGGAGAGGAAGAATTTAACAAAATAAAAGTTAACAAACTAAAACTTTAATAAAAACGATCTGACGTTTTTAGAAACAAAAACTTCTTTGTTATTTATTGAACAAATATTGAGACACGAGTCTCAGGAATCAGATGTCAGGTTGGTTTCATGGAGTAAAACTGTTTTTACAACTAAAAACACATTTAAAGTCAGTTTTTCAGCTGATTATAAAGGAATGATGTTTGTTTTTCACTGCATTTATGACATGTTTGTATAAATCATGTGAATCTCAACAACATTTGGGTCAAAATTTGCCAGAAAGTCACAATTTTATTGTGTCAAAGTGAAAAATTAATCCATAAAATAAAACTTTTCTTCTGTTTTCATCTCCTCAGTACTCCATCAGAGGAAGACAGGAAATAAATATTCAATAAAACAGAAAGAGAAATGTTTTTCTTCTGCAACCACCCTCAGCAGAAACAAATAAAACATCCCAGGTATCCTGTGAGTCAGATCAGAATATCTACATTAGTTATGAKATTAATGTTGTGAAACACACTCTGCTGTAACGCTATAATTATACAACACAGGAACTAATTAGCAGAAAATAAAACTGTGATCTGAAAAAAACTTTTCATCAATTCTTTATCCTGCGGGCGTCAGCGGTGAGGAACCAGAACAAAACCACATGGATGAATAAAACAAGGTGAGGGTTGCTGAGGGTGGGCGGGGTCTGACAGGAAGTGACAGACGTGAGCACGTCGCTCGTCCTGTAACATCATCAAGGAAACCGCTGACAGCAGCCATTTATTCCTTCTCGTCCCACAAAACACAAACCTTTCATAAACTCTTTGAATTATTTAATGTTGAAGAAAATGGAAAAGAGGACAGGAAATTATGCACGGTGCAGCGGCCTTGAACCAAGCTTCCTGATGAATATCTTGTTCTCGCAGCCACTCACAGCATCGCAGATAAAGCTGCACTTGTCCCTTGATTTATTATGCAAGAGTTCAAAGCTGCAGCTTAACTCCAAAGTTCAAACCGATTAAGCTGCCGACGCAGAGAAACTCTATTATTCTCCTGCTAACCTCGCTAACACCGGCGGGCTCGCGTCAGCGCCGTCCACTCACAGGTTCACCAAACCTGCAGGAGCCCCCAGGCCCTCCACCCACTCTCAGTTTATTCTTCTAGTGTGAGATCAGATCAGTCCAGAGTTTACTCAGACATGATTAAAGATAACAATAAGTTTAGGAGATAAAAGCTTCAGGGGACTAATCAGGTTCAGAGGAAGTTCARCAAGTAAACTCTGCAAGAAACTGATTTACTCATAAATGGAAGTTTATCTGAAATATTAGCAGCGTTAACATCTTCATTTTTCTCTTTATTAATGCGAATTCTAAAATAATTACTTTCCTTTTTGGTCAAAGTGTTTTAAACGTAGACTATTCTCCATGACACCATCTGGTTTTCTTTTAAATAAACAGATTAATTTAAAGACTAGAATATCAGATACGGTTTATAAGAAGTTATTTAACCTCACATGTCTTTAACAACCATGAGACACACATCCTGTGTACAGTCTAATGTAAAGTCTAATAAAATGATTTAAGTTGATTTGTGCAGTGAATGCCTAGTGAGACCCCTTTTTCTTATCTATATTTGTCATTTGTTATTTCACAATAAAAGCCCCACAAAGTCAGATGAGTATTTGGTCATACTGAAACTGTCAGGTTGTTATAATCATTCAGGAGTCACTGTTGACTCTGAAGGCAGTGAGGAGCTTCAACAAAACCAGCCTGACACTGAAGTGCACCTGGACCTGTGCTCAGAAACAGTTTGTCTGATCTGCTGAATAAAGCGAACATGCAGCCGGGCCGGTGGGATGCAGCTCTGAAACATGACTCATCGGTGTATTTATGGGTGTGTGAGCATCGTTTGTTTATGAGAAACATCAGCGAGTGTCTGGAGAGCACATTTGGGTCTGTGCAGCAGCAGCCGGGTGCTTTCATTTCTGAGCAGATCATTATTTGGGCAACAGTCAGCAAACAAATGACTCAGTGGTTTGTGAGTGTGAGCAGCTGTTTGTGTGCAGAGACAAATAAAAGGCAAATATCAGCAGTCCGTCCCACGGACACAGCGAGCGTACCTTTGTCGCTGAAGTCGTCCACCAGGATGATCTCTGCGATGAGCTGTGGGGGTGAGCGGTTCAGCACGCTGTGGACCGTCCTCAGCAGCGACGACCAGCCCTCGTTATGGAACGGGATGATGATGCTGGTGTTGGGCAGCTTCTCTGCGTACAGCTTCTGTTTACAGCTGCAAACATGAAACAAGTGCGTTAAGATAAAAATAAGCTACATTCATCTGGATGTTAAACATTAGAAATGTGCCTTATTTATTTCCATTTTACATCCAAAGCAGATCCAGAGTCAGGTTCAGTCTGATAACAATAGAATTAATCTTTATTTCAAAACATAAAACAATAAATATATGATTYACATTCTGGTTAAATTAAAATATTCCTAATATTCTGTCGTATTTTTAGGATTTGTATTGTTATGATATTTTATCTTTCATGTTGTTTTATTGTTTATAAACGTTATATTGTTAAAAGTTCATCTGGGGACGAGCATTGCAAACTAGCTAAAACCATAAATGTTATAGTGTTTGTTATATGTAACACTTGTCTCCATGCAAATAAATAATGAAATGAAATGAATGACTCTCAGCTACTACCACACCAATCCCTGTAAAACGGCTGCATCAGACATTTTCTGGGGTTTTTAAAGTCGTTTAGCTGCGGCGGCCATCTTGACTCAAGTCTGAACGTTCCTCAGTTGGAAAGGTTGACTTGATGACTGGGTTCTGAAAGTTCTGTTCAGATCTGTTCAGGAGATATTTTACTGACAGTCCAGGCAGATAAACATGATCACTTCCAGCTGAGATTAATGGTGTTTCTGGGTTGAGTTTCTGATGAAAGGATTAGAACCCCTCACTGACAGACCCGTGACTCCGGCCTTTAGCAGAACCTGTGTGCTCGGCACCGGTCCAACCTGCACAATGTGCTGCTGTTTTAATAAGATGTAATGAAGCACACCACCTGCTGCCTCGCCCTTCTCTTCCTTTCTCCCAGGCTCTTTGTGAGATCAGAGGAGGACTCTGCAGAGCTGTAATTATCTCGGCCTCGCTCCGTGTCTCCAACACRTCATTCAGCTGAGGGATGAATGAGAGCTGCTGGAAGCTCCGGACCTGCCGGGAACCCATTGTCAGACACCTGTCACTCTCCTGTCACTCTGACCGGCCTCGCCCCGGGTCCAAGAACCCGACCACTCACCTCTGTGGTTCTGCTGAACAGACCTTAGTCTTACATTTAAAATAAAACTGTCAGCTCAGTTTGCTTTGAGTTTAACCAGGAGAAAATGAGATTTTTAGTCAATTATTTGAAAGTAACTGCGAGCGAAGCATCTGCCTGAATACGGATCAGTTTTGTAAGAATCCAGGCTGAAAAAACGCAGAAGGTTTGATGGATAAAAGAACCGAGCTGCTGCTAGTGGCTCATCAAGGTCACCACGGCACGCACACCMCTGGCTCTGTCACCTCCTGATGAACGACAGACTGAAAAGTAAGCCTCGTACAACATCATGATGTGAAAACTATAATGAATCATAAAACTTCTTAAACTGTGAGCAGCAGAAGGTTCTTGTGGTGGAAGTATTATATAACATCCCTAAGTGTTAAGTTACCTTGACATGTTCAGTCCTGTATCTCTCACTGATTACTGYCACAGATTCTTGATATTGATTCTTGATTCTTGATTCTTGCACATGCAACTTCTATTAAATAATATGAGACCAAACCACACAAGTTCACCTTGTTTTATTCACGTGTTTCTGCCTGAGTGGAATATTTTTCCATTACAATTGGCGTCACTCACGGGGACTTTTGGCTGCGCTTTGCCCATCCGGGCCAGCAAGAGGCAGGGGACAGCACTAACGGAGTTTGTCGTTTTCTTTCCGCTGCTTGGCACTAGGGCTGATACGATTAATCGATTAATCGACGACTAATCGATTATTAAAATAATTGATGACTAATTTAATAATCGATTAATCATCTTCTTTCTGTCCTTGACACACATGCACAGTAGTGGTAACTGGGGTAGGCCGTGGACATCACAAGACATTATACAGACAGGCTCTGGTATCATGGCTACCTGACAACAGAGCTCAAAGTGTGGGATCATTTTAAGACAATGAAAGAGAAACCTGTGTAATATCTGCAGAGCAGAACTTACCTTCCACAGCTATTATTTTTAGTTAGCATATAGCTAAAATCTAACCATGGTTATATAATAGCAGCTGCATTCTGGCACGATAAGCTCTTTATATATTATATATTTTATATATGTTTTATATTCAATTAACTTATGATCTGATTAGTCGACTAATCAAAAAAATAATCGGTGATTAATCGATTATAAAAATAATAGTTTGTGGCAGTCCTACTTGGCACCGGGACTGGTGGTTCTCCGTTTCGGCGACGGACGGGTGAAGCGGATRCTGAAAGGATACCGAACCTCTTGGCGGAAATACAGTGAGCTTATGAAATATTTGCTTTGGATTAGCTAAASTGAGCTAAAATTGCTAAGTAGGCCACGCTAGCCAGAATGCATTGAGTCACTATGTGGAAATGCTAAAGCTAATTTCATTCGGCCCAGTGAAAATTTATTCTAATATTTTAGACACACGCCTTTTCACTCTCTGCAGTTGGTTTTACATGAAAACGAGTCGGGGACTCGTTTTTAAGGAGTTGTTTGAATTGCTTTAAGGAGTTTTTCCAGCTTAATGGCAGGTTAGCTTTAGACGATGCTAGCCTCTCTGTCTTTGTTTCAGTAGGAACTAAAGAGGGACGGTTTTACGTCAAAACGAGTCGGGGACTCGTTTGTTTTTTTAAGGAGTTGGTTTAAAATTGCTTGTAAAGACTTTTTCTGCTGCGTGTAAACCAGACGCCCCTGACGCTCAAATCTCGCTCGGTCTGAACACATTATGATAATCACGTTCAGGGTTTTGTGCTGAAGGACATTTTTAGACTGATTAACTGAATTTAAAATCCAGTCTTGTAAAGTTTAAACAGAGGAACAGAGTCAGTGTTTCTTATCAATGTATTCATTCTGTTTAATATAAACAAAGTTGGTTACATTTTAATATTTGACGGAAAAGGTACCGCCTCCAGGGGTGTGACCAGGAAGTGAGAGGGAAACGTTGCTTTAAGAGGTTGATTCATCGTGAAACATTAGGCAGTCTCTGTCTTAGATCAGACTGTGAGGGATTGTTTTGGTTCTGATRAGACCCAAGGCCCTTTTYAKWCTCAAGYCTGCTGCTRGCTGCTTGGTAGCTGACTGAGTCAGGKTTTGAATAAARATTTTTAGAAGAGATCAACTGGTTCCTGYGAACTCATTCTGACTTCCAATGTGAGTTTCCTTCAATGTGACGAGTTAAAAACTTCACTTCCTGTTTTAAAGAGAACATTCTGAGACTTAATGGAAGTGGATGAGAGCTCTGAGGAMCCTCAGCAGTGAGAAACAGCAGGTGAAAGAAGACAGAAATATCTACTGATGTAGAATCTGTCCTAAAACGCAGTGAGGTGAGCAACAGACGAGCTGAAGATCACTGAAGATGGAAAAACCCTCAAAGAGGAGAAGTGGGGGAAAACCTGACAGCTCCACCTACATTAAGGACGATTTTCCTGCAGGAAGACGGTTGAACCAGAGCAAAGCACATCAAGCGTTTAACTCTGGATGCTTTCCATTCACTCCTTCTAGATTTTGACTCCACATCCCTTCTGCAGCCTGAACCCCGGTCCCCTGGTAGCTGCAGCGTGGGAGCATTAAAGAACTCTCTGCCGAGCGTTGCTTTGATGGAGCGCGCTGCAGCGATGCCCCGCCGGCGGAGGAGCGCAGGATGGAAAAAGCCTGTTTGAWGGCAGGAGAGGTCGCAGAAGGTGGGGAGATTCATAAATCTGAGAGAAAAGGATGAAGGAGGAGCCGTTTAGAGCAGTTTCTACGTGAAAGTGATGGCGGGGGTCAGGAGGAGGCACCTGTCAGCTGTCAGCGAGAGGAGAAGCTCTGACGGCTGATCCGTGACGAACCGGGTCAGCGGGTCTGAAGATGTTTACAGGGTTTTACTTTTTCAGAGCTGCTGATGTGTTTATTTTCAGTATTTTGTTCTTTAATGAGTCAGAGTCAGCTGGAAGTGGTCCAAACTACAAACACCTGTGCTGCTGGCTGCTGGCGTCTGTTGAGGCTTCGCTCTGCTCAGAGGACAACCTTCAACCTGACGGACAAAAACCTCCAGAATTCCTGTCATCTCTGAGGAGCTGGTAGTTACAGTTTTAAGAAAATTTAAATATCTCCTCGTATTGTTTAATCTGTGAGCTCTCAGATTATATGCTGGGGATCAGTCACATGTTTTATCAATCTGCACAAACGCTTTGTAATGTGGAGGACTGACTCCAGAATGTAATCCTGTGCAGATGTGCACCTATAAGTTCTCAAATATTCTTAACAATCCATTGAGTTGTTCAAGAATTATTTTGCTAACAGACCTCAGCACCGTCCTGCAGCAGCTGATAAAAGTAAAGCTTCAATAGAAACAAATAAAAACAGTTCTAATCTCTGACCTTTTTACAGGTTTCCAGTTTTAATGGACAKTTTCAGGTGTTTTTGCTTCTACCTGTTGGTTGTTTATGATCTCGTCTTTACTAACTGCAGGTTTTCCCACGAGGCCTCATTCAGCTGCAGATTTTTTATTTTTGTTTACCTCTGTGACTCATTCTGGTCCTAAACAGAGCTGAGCTGGAGAATTTAACCTTTTACACACCAAAGGTTTCCTTTAAGTTTGTGCTTGAAATAACACGCCCACTTATAATTAACTCTGTTAYAGAGTATACACACGTTTTAAAAATATCATGAATATGGCAAAAAACAACAAAACAAACTAATGGAAACCATAAAACCAATTGTAGATAATTCTGTTTTTATTCCTAAAGATAAAAGACGAGTTAGATGTACGACATGTTTTAGTAGCAGTGTAAACTAATTAGAAATATATATTTTTTATTATTAGATATGTTATTATTAAGAACAGACAGATGAAGGTTTACTGGGCTTATTGCCTCAGACTCCATCATAAACAGTTAAAACTGGGTCAAATGTACAGAAGTTTAGGGAATAATTAGTTTTTTCTTCACAGGTTGTTCATAAAATGTCATTTCAGCTCTGCAGCTCCTGCCGTCCTCCACTAAAAGAAACAAAATAAAAGTAGTTTCTGCTTTTTGCAACATGTTGATTTTATCTTTTTCAGTTTAGAGGCCATGAGAACGTGTTGCTTTGTGGTTTTCTTCCACAACATCTACACAAACAACACAACTCACTTTGGATGGCGGATGTCCGGGACGGAGCGGTTCAATGAGATCCTGTCGCTGACGAAGATGTTGAAGCCGTTCTCCCTGTAGGCCTGGTCCACCCGGTCAGCGTCTGTCAGAGGAAACGGTTTCCCCTGCTCACCGTTACCTGCATGAAACACAGGGAGACTTCACCACCAGGACCAGAACCAGAACCCAGTCTTACAGCATCAGAGACATGCAGCGTCAACGTAGCTCATTTAGTCTTTAGTTTTCTAATAAACAGTGTCTTAATCTTCAGATCTACTTCTTATCTAACTGTTTCACACAAACTTGTAGATTAATTAAAACAAGATGGCAAAAGAAAACTGAAACAATTCAGTTTGTAAAATAAAGCAGAAATCTAAMATTACAAAGTGTGTTTATTTCCTTATAAATTAAGAGTTGTGCAAAATCACATTGAGTGCAATTAATCATCTGTAAAACAGTCAACAATTATTATTTGCCTTTTTTTCGGAGAAAGAGAAAGAGAAAAAAAAGGAAATATAATTAGAAAGACTGAGAGAAATTAGAAAATATATTATATATACACCAAGAAAACACAAATCAACACACCCGACAGCTTTCTGTTCATCTGAAAATAAATGGGTACAAGAAAACATAACAACAAAAAACACATCTATTTGATTACAAAAATAATTATAATTTTGCTGTAAAGCATGTATACATATAC